GCGGCGGCGACAGGAAGGAACGCGCAACGGCGCGGACAGCCCAGGGCGTGCCGGGCCGCGTAGTTCCCGCGGCGGCTCCGACGAGGAAGCCGCCCGGCCGCTGCGTAGCGCAAGGACTACGGCTCCCAGGGAGCCGCGGGGCGGGAGCCGGAAGGCAGTGTGTGTCAGCCCAGGCTCCCCTGTGAGGCCGTGGAACGAGTAAGCGTGAACTGAGTGTTGAGAGGAAAAGGTTCTCACTTGCTGGTGATGGCTGATGAGAGGCCGCTAGTGAAAAACAAAACAAAACAAAAAACGCCAAACGCACCAACAAAAAAAAAAGAAGCTCACCCGTTTGCTTCCATACTTTTGCAGCCCAACGTGGTGACAAAATGTATGCATAACCCTTGCCCAAAACAAACCGTGCTGGTCTTCACGTGACTGGCTACGCGCCTTCTGTGGGTAACCATGTAAAGTGAGCCTCCTGACCTGCTGAGAGAGGTATGAAATACTTGCTGAGCAAAGGACACCGAGCAGAATAAACCACGCGGACAATCTCCCATACAATACATTTAAAAAATTCACTACTTTTAATCCTAGGTTGATTTTGTTTGTTTGTTTGTTTGCTTGTTTGTTTTATGGGTTTCGTCTGGATTTTTTTAAAGTTTTTTTTTTTGTTTGGTTTGGTTTTTGGGGTATTTTTGTTTGGTTTTGGTTTGTTGGTTTGTTTTGGTTTGTTTGTTTGTTTTTCTTTTTATTTAAATTTGATTCTACTTAAATCAAGTTGGGACCATCCTTTTCATAGTTGAAACACTGGTTAACATCAAACTCCAGGGATATTTATAGCTCATGCTTGGAAAAACTGCTGAATTGCAAGGAAAACAGCAGAGATAGCTTCCCCATGTGAGAACAGTACAAAACAAGCTACACATAAATCCCACCCTGTACTTCCTGTTCAAGTGGAGCCTAAGCCAGATTGTGTGGCTAGCAGCAGGACTGCCCAACTGTTCTGCAAGAAAACTGCTGTGTAATTGAATTTCAGACTGTGGATGGAAACAAGGCAGCAGAGACTTAATGTCCTGAAATGCAGCTGAACAGAAAGTTGGTTGGATCAAAACTCTTGTTTCTGTGTATCCCAGCAAATTCACCATCAACTTTCACCTCTGAGCCACTCTTAGAATCCAAGTGTATGTTGTGGTTCTTGGCCATTAGAAGATTTTAGTTGATGAGTCAAGAAGTCTATCTAACTGCTCTCACAGGAATTTGAAATGCAACCTTGTGTTGGTGCTATGAAAGTGAATTAAACTGAAAGCCATAAAAGCAGAGTTGTGTGAAGAACTGGTTTTTTCAGCATGCAAGCATCTAGTCTTACTCTTGCAAGCCTGTCTTCTGTGCCCCGTGCTATGAAAGATGTCTATAGTTACTACTATAGCAGATAGATTATTTCATTGCATTTCTGTATTTAATTGCATTCTTGGTCACCTGCTACAATCCTCAGGTTATGCCTAGGAAAAATGTTTTATTGTAAGAACTGTAAGCGAGACAAGCAGAAGTGTAAAGATTCCTCCTGCTCCCTCATTAAACTGCTGCCACAGCTGACTTCACAAAAGGATGTTCAGTCTCTGTACTGCAGTGTTTGTGTTGTGGCTTTCTATTCCAATGACACATTATCTTTTGGTCAAAGAGCGGCTCTTCCTACATGCTTGGACAGTGTCTAAAAAAACAGGATCCAAAATTAGTTTTTAAGCTCTTGGTAAATCTGTAAGACAAAGGGAAAAATCTGTAAGACAAATCCAGCTCTTTAAGAAATTTCCGCCTCACACTACATTGAATCTTCTTTTTATTGCCTTAAGGCGTACTTCAGTCTGTACTTGCATGTGTGAAAGTATCATAACATGCACAATTTCATAAAATTGAGGCATTATACAACATTATACTACATGAATCAATAACCTTCCCCACTGTTGCAAACACGGGCATGGCTAACAAACTTGGTAGGTTTTGCATTTTGTTAGATATAACTCCAGATACCTTTCTGAAAGATACTGATAATACATCAGGATAGAGTTTAAGATGTAGAAACTGCATTACACTTAAAATCTTGTTTGTAGGCAAAGAGAAACATACCTTATATGAAACTAAATCCAAGAATTCGTTGAAAATGTAACTGAAATCTCAAGTGTCTAATTGTTTTTAGTCCAGCACTAATTGTTACACACAAAAAAAAAAAGAATAAGGTTTATGTACATGTGTTGACGAGAACACAGCTGCGATGGGCAGGGCATGTCTCCAGGATGAAGGACCACCGCCTCCCTAAGATCTTGCTTTACGGTGAACTTGCCACCGGCTGCCGCATGAGAGGAGCCCCGAAGAAAAGATACAAGGACTCCCTGAAACAACATCTCAGCCTTGGCCATATTGATCACCATAACTGGTCTACTCTGGCCTCAAATCGGGAGGCCTGGAGACACACAATCTATAACGCAGCTGTCTCCTTTGAGAACACACGCAGGATCACCCTCGAGGAAAAAAGGCAACGCAGAAAGAACCGTGTATTGCAGAATACACCATCTAAGGAATCTTTCTGCTGTGCCTTTTGCAATCGGATATGTCTGTCACGTATTGGCCTCATAAGCCACCAGCGTGCCTGCAACAAATGTGGATAGAGCCTTCCCAAATCTTCGTTTGTGAAGCCCAGCCATGATGATGACTTTCTACCTCTTTTCCTGCGGCTGTGCTCACCCTCACTCTTCTGCAGCCACTCTGGGTTCTGAGGTTGGTGGTTTCATTCTTGGGTGGTAGTAACAGGAGGGGACATTACAGCAGGTTGTCAGCATCTGGAGCCCACCTCTGGGAGGAATATGATGTTTAGATTGCTGGTTTCTTCTTCTTCACTTTGAGGGTCTGCATTCAAACTTGGGATTAATTCTTATAATGTGTTTTTCTAATTGTCTGAGGCTCCATATTACATTTGAATGTACTATATATGATACTGTTTAAATATCTTGGATACTTTTTCTGCTTTCCCTCTAGGTGGCTCTAAGTGGCGCTGGTTGGGTAAAATGACCTGAAGGGTAGTCCCTAATGACTTGTGCCCTTAGCAGCCTTAGGGAGGCAAAGAAAAGTTTTAATTTCCCAGAGAATCCTCTAAGGATTGGACATTGATTTGTTCAACTAATTGAACAATTTCATTACGATTATCATGTAAATTCTTGCCATTCACAAAATTTCATCATTTGCCTCTCCTGGTGTGGTGGAAAGTAATTTGGAGGGAGTACATAGTGTCCTACAATGAGCAGAATCAAAGGAATAAGGAAAGAAAATAACTCTCCAACTCCATCTACACTGTCACATGACATCTGATTGTAGCTAAAATGAACTGAGATCACCTGCTATTGATTACAGATCTTCTACCTGACTGCATTCATAGTTGCTGCCCCTGTCTACCTTTAAAGTTATTAACCTAAAATGTATCTCCTTGAGTGAAAAAGGGAGTGCAGAACATGAAGTTACTAGAAAAGCTGAGGGAACGGTAACCTGTTGATGGAAAGGAGGATGAACAATCTGAAAGATTTCAGTTTGGCTTAGATGTTCCAGAGTAGCACATCTGCCATCAACCATAAATTTCTCGGGAGAACAGACACACTTCTCTTTTTTCCTTAAGGTGATCCAAAATAGAGCTTCAGTGCAATGAAAACAGTAGCCATTTTGTCTCACGAAGCAGCCTACTCTCTTTCCTTGTTTAGACAAAAAGATGGTGTGTTAAGGAGTGTTAAGGGTGAAATTTAACTCATGAGCCGGCTAGTTTCAGGTGCTGCTTCAGGAATTTATGAATAGTTTTTAACACTTTCCACAGAGATACTCCCACTGCAAGTTCTTCATCCTTGGACGTTGTGTGTTTTGCTGACTACTTATTGAAAGCTAATAACTGCCAGCAGCCATCTTTGCTACTTGCACGAAGCACAGCATAATATATATCACCTAGTGGTGCAGTTTTAACCTCACTATGAGACAGAGAAGCTGTTTAAGTTTCTTAACTGACTTATCCTGTCTTGATGCTCCTGAAAAATGAGCAGCTGGAAAGGACAGGGCTTAACTGACAATGGTTAAGGGGAAACTAATGAAAGCATTAGTTCAGAGACCACTTTCCAAAATTCTCCAACTGCTGCAGGAATTTGACTTGGTGCCCAAAGCCCCTACTAGATGTTCAGAATTCCACATCTGCTGTGACTTCTCTGCAACAGAAGACAGAAGTTCTCAAACAAGTTTTTCAAATAGTTTTTCTGATGAGGAAAATCTATTTCACGTGGTGGAGCAGATTAATGAGTATTATCAAGTTTATGAAATATACTTCCTGTATGTTTTTCTGAACAAGCATTGCTGGATTATTCCACAGCATGAAGAGAGATACAGAGAATACACACACTGCACTAGGAGCTCAGAAACACAAGCAGAAGTGTCAGAGTACTTGCCACCATTTTAATAGATGTATTGAACTGATACGAGTCCTATAGATGTTCTCCTGCACTCCAGCAACACCTCCTAAGCCAGGAATTTTGCTCTCTTTCTTTTCTCTAGCAAGTCTGGTATTACAAAAAACGGTGGGAAAGGGGTGTTGTGCTTAAGTTTGGGGTTTTCTTTTATTTCTTTGTTTTGTTTTTCTAAATATATAACCTCTTTAACCTAATTTAATGTATTTTAAAACAAAATTTCAGCGAAGTGCTGTTAGTTATCATGCTAACGCTTGAAAAACGTGTTTGTAAACAGTAAAATTATTAATGTTTTATTTGGGGTTCCGCCAGACTGTGGATTTCACTTTTATCAGACGTTTGCCAAGCAAATCCCGGTGAAACAGCTCTACGCTGAGGCCGCCGACAGGGGCCGCCGGCACGCCCGCGCGCCCTGACGCCGAGCCGCGCGCTCATTGGATGGCCGCGGGTCACGTGACCAGCCGGCTGCACGGTGCGGACACGTGCGCGGTGTCCTTAAGAGGGTGTCGGTGCCCGGCGCCATCTTATTTCCGTGCGGAGCGAGGTAAGGGGCTGGGCTCTGGGTACCGCTCTTATGGAAGCGGGAGGCTTTTCCCCGGCAGGATCTCCTTCCCGCCCTCCCCCCCATCTCCACCAGCGCAGAGGCCGGGCCGGGCCGGGCCGGGCGGGGCCGGACCGTACTGTACTCACTCCCGCCCGCAGGCAGGGTCGGTGAGCCTCGGTGCAGGGTGCCATTTTCTCTCCTTGTTAGACCTTCCGGAGCTGAGCGGGAGGCGGCTGCTGATGTGTTCTGTCTCCTGCAAGCAGGTCTGGCAGGGCACAGCATGATTGAAGAGGACTGGAATGCGGAGATGGGGGACGAGACGTTGCTCCCATCCCTTGAGAAGGTATGGGGGGGAGGGGGGCGGCAATTGTTAGGCTGTAGTGTGCTTGCTTCTTTTACCTTTCCTTCCTCCAACCCCTGTCGGCACAGCCTGGGTGGCTGGTGGGCTGTGGTGTCCCCTGTTCCTGTGATTCCGGAAGCACCTGGAGGAACTTGACCTTGGTGCTGAAAAGACAGTTTTCTTAACGAGGTGCAGCAGTTTCAGTCTCTGAAAATGTTGAGGTGCCTTGCCTCCCTGGAAGCTCCTGGGACGTGATTGGTGTGGGTGATTATTGTTACTCTTTCAGATGCTCGGTGCTACCCCTTTGCACTGGATTATGAAAGGATGCATACTTTTTGGAAATAAAATGCGCGCATAAAAGCGGCACATAAGAGTAACTCATTAACTACGGTGTGTGAGCTAGGAACTGAGTACCTACGTGGATAGGCTAGTGGATCAGCATAGGCTGGAAAAGAAGTAGAGCTAACTTAGGCAGGGTAGAAACTTAAAACTGCAGCTCGGTGGTGTTAAGGAGTATTCCGGTGCAGTTTTGTAACTCCTGAAGGAAGTTGGTGGTTCATGTTGCGTGTCCTTTTTGTTTTCTGATGTATTCCTCTTTTGTATCTGCAAGGTATAGTTTTTTTCATGTTGTAGCATAAACTGAGAACAGATGCTGGATTTTGGGTATTAGTAGGCCACAATTTGTTACACAAATCAAATTGGTTTGATGATTGTTATTGCTGGCTATTGAACAGTGAAAGCGCAGTGGTGGCACTGCATTTTTGGAGACTTGCAGAACCACATCTGTTGGTGAAGGTGTGGATTAGAGGTGAGCTGTGACTTCTGTCTCGAAGCCGTCCTTTTAGCTGTTCTATTTGCTGTCTCTTCCTTCTGGTAGTCACAGAATTGCTATTTCATTTTACCACAGCAATGAATAGAACATAGGTGACTGTCTCAGCTGTTATGTGTTGTTCAGTTAATACAGTGCCTCATGTTGTCCCCAAACTTCATGGTCCTAAATGCAGAGCTGCTGCAGAAAGAGTGAGAAGTTTTCCTATGTAAGGACTGTAGGTAGGACTTTGAATATACTTTACAGTATATTTTTGCAAATACGGTAGGTAGCCATAGGAGTTCGCTGCAACTAAAGAGGTTTCCTCTGTGCCAGCAGTTTACTTGCTGCTGTTTTGTTCATGTACTCTAGTGCTTGTTGTATGCTTCGTGAGCTTCACATCTTAGCTGTGTGTAATGTGATTTTTGGTAACATTCATATGCAAACAGTATACTGTTTAGAATACTGTGAAATGTAATAAGCTGAAGTGAACAGAGGAGTGTGAGAGTCTGCATTTCAGAAGGTGCAGAAGGCAACTTTTCAAGTGGAAGACATAGCAACTGCATCTGTGTTTACGTACTTTGCTTGACCTGAAGTTATCATGATGTTGTGCCTTTTTTTTTTTTTTTTTTTTTTTTTTTTTTGTAGGTTAGCTTGTTTGAAAGACCAAATGACCTCTCATCTGGCTTCAGTCCGAGTGTAAGCTCATTCGGTATGTGAAAGGCACTTCTGACTGGCATTTGGGGGAGTTGATCACTTGAGCAGTTTACAAGGTTAAAGGAAAACACAATATTATCATCGTGATATTTTAATGTCTCCCCTATGGAGTAGCAACATCAAATTATAGACAGAACATAATGAATATACTTTTTTTGACCTTCAACCTTTATTTATTTATTTATTTACTTTTTTTTACTACTTCATTTATTTGTTTATAATACAATATATAACTTATACTGAGTCAAAGATAGCTTTGAATGTTAACTCAGTTTTTTTTGTAATTCTAGGTACTGATGAATTTTTGAACAGACAGTGTCAACCAATGAGTAGTTTCGGTAGAGGAAGGAATTTTGAAGCCAAAGGTAACTTCCTCTAATGGCTGTAATTCTAATGGCTAGTCCTATATTATATATTAAACTTTGCTTATTAAGGTGCTCAGTTTTGTTGTATCAGAGCCAAATGAGTATTTGTGACTTGGAGAGTAATTCGGGTCCTTATTTCTGTATAATGTAGGCACTCAGTATCACCCCTTGGTTTTGACTGCACAACACAAAATACCCCACTGCATTTCCCAGAAGGCAGGACTCGACATCTAAAATTGATGTTTTGTTTACCTCTTGCTCTGATTCTGTTCTGCCTGCGGAGGGGCATTTTTCTGATAGTTTTGTTGTCATGTAGTATAAAAGTCAAGCTGAGTATTAGTATTCGTATGTATGCTGTGTGAGGGACTATATCAGTTCTCTTCTGTGCAAGACCTGAAAGCTTGCTTTCTTTGGTATCCATAAAGCAATATTCAGTCCCTATCCTCCTACTGCTTACAGTGGTGAGTGCCACACCTGTATGCAGTGCACATTGAGGAGGCAGCTTGGCAGTACTGCTTCATGTGCTTCCACCTGGTATGTACAATGTACAGGGGCAGTGGGAACTGCTGGCTAATTCTTTGTCAGTGGGACTGGTTATGAAACAAGGAAGATTGAAACTCTAGTCCTGGTCTAGGCTGGTTTATCAAAAGGTCTGGCCTGCAGAACAGCTGTGGAGCCACTCAGTGTTATGTTTATTGCATAGATTTAACCCCAGCTGGCATCTAAGCCCCACGCAGCTGCTTGCTCACTCTTACTGGTGGGATGGGGATGAGAATTGAAGGAGTGAAAGTGAGACAATCCATGGATTGAGATAAAAGCAGTTTAATAGGTAACACAGGAGCTGCACATGCAAGCAAAACAAAGAATTCGTTCACCACTTCCCACTGGCAGGCAGGTTCAGCCTTTCCCGCGAAAGCTGAGCTCTGTTGCGCATAGCTGTGGCTGAGAAGGCATCTGAGCATCCCCTCTTTCCTTCTTTATCTGCTGAGTGTGATGTGATGCCATATGGGATGGATTGTCTCTGCAGTCACTTGGGGGCAGCTGCTCTGGCTGTGTCCCCTCCCAGGTCTTTGTGCCCTCCAGCCTTCTCGTGGGTGGGGTGAGGAGCAGAAAAGGCCTTAGCCGTGTGTGAGCACTGCTCAGTGATAGCTAGAACATCCCTGTGTTATCAACACGGTTTCCAGCACAAATCCAAAACACAGCCCCATATCAGCTGCTGTGAAGAAAATTGACTTGACCCCAGTTAAACCCAGCACGGTTAATTCTTTCAAAAAATTCTCAGCCATTTCTGCATCTTTTGGATCGATGCCCACTGTGGTAGGGGAATGCTAGGTTTGTTTGACTATGCAGATGGCAGCGCTTTGTGCAGAGAAATGATGATGAGAAATTCTGCTGTAGACTCTCCAACAATTGTGAAGTAACTCACAAGCTGTAGGTAGGGTCTGTAGTATTTATGGATACTTACCTTTAGACTGTTTTTGCAGCGAGCCTTTAAGATGTGATTTTGGTTTTTATTTCTTTATGTAATTGATTTGGAAAAACTCAAACGACGAACAAATTGGTATTCACCAAGCCTTGGTGGAGAAGGAACTACAGATGCTGTGGTAGGAGAACTTCTTGATGTCACGTAACAGCAGATTCTCTTTGTCATTACGATATGATAGAACAGATGTTCAGTTGAAGAATAAGGACTTAGGAGAAAATTCCAGTCTAAGCTGACTGCTTGGATCTTGAACAACACCTGAAACTGTCCAGTGTAAAATGAGAAATACCTTATTTGTGCATATGACTCTTTACTTCTTCTCCTTCCCCATCAGGAGAGTGACTAAGGAAAGGGATTAGAAATAAAAATACCCTAAATACTTGTCACTGCTGACGGAATAAGCGATTCTGAGTAATAAAAAAAAAAAGGAGAAGTTGGTAGATCTGAAAGGCACATTTTCAAATCCTAACTCTGCAGGTACTGGTTATGAAAACTGATAAGGTACAAATGCTGTCAGTTGCTTATGACTGAACCAGAGTTCTGAATGACAGAATCAGCTAGGTTGGAAAAGACCTCTGAGACGATGGAGTCCTACCTTTGACCCAACACCACCTCGTCTACTAGACTATGGCACTAAGTGCCACATCCAGTCTTTCCTTAAACACCTCCAGGGACAGTGACTCTAGCACCTCCCTGGGCAGCCCATTCCAACACCCAGTCACTCTCTCTTGTAAAGAACTTCTTCCTAGTGTCTAACCCAAACCTCTCCTGGCTCAGCTTAAGGCTGTGCCCTCTTGTCCTGTTGCTGGTTGCCTGGGAGAAGAGACCGATGCCCACCTGCCTACAGACTCCTTTCAGGTAATTGTAGAGAGTGATGAGGTCTCCCCTGAGCCTCCTCTTCTCCAGGCTAAACAACCCCAGCTCCCTCAGCTACTCCTCAAAGGGCTTGTGCTCCAGACCCTTCACCAGTCTTGTTGCCCTTCTTTGATTTGCATCTGGATCAAAACTGGAGAGTTGAATGTTTGTGGCATATACGCATGTAAAGTGAGATACTTAGACCTAACATTTGATTTATGTCTTGAAATCATACAAGAGAGCAGTACTCTTCTTGTCAGACTTTTTGGCAAAAAGTACTTTTTTTCTTCATTGTTTCATATGTTTAGGCAAATCACTTAGTTATATTATACTTTTTTTGTGGATTTATAAAACAAGGAATGGGAAGAATTAAAAGATGCTTGACCTGCACATGTGATATTAGGCAAATTAAATTATTGTGTTGTATGCTGCACTGCAGGTTTTCAAGAAAGAAACATAGGAGATGCTAGTATGCAATATAGAGGGTCTAAAGGATTCCGTGGTGGCTTTGGACAAGGTAAGAGTAAGTTTTTTGTATTGACTAGTTTGTATGGGAACACTATACATATTGCCATTCTTTCTGGGTTTGCTTGCTCCCTGAGAACTGTACGAGGGTGAGTGCTGTGAAATGGCTTCTGTTCTTCATCCAGGTAAAAGGCTCTTGATCTGCACATGCAGAATTGTCAAACTAAGTTGTTGTTTGCTGTGCTGTACTCCAGGTTTTCCAGGAAGAAATGCTGCAGAAGGTTCTAGTACGCATACAAAAAATAAAGGGTTTAAAGGATTTCATGGTGACTTTGGACAATGTGAGAGTAAGTGTTTGAGGTGTTTTTTATATTAACTGGTTTGTATGGGAACAGCATACAATTGACCATTCTTTCTGGGTTTGCTTGCTCTGTGAGAACTACCAGTACAAGGGTGAAAGCTACAAAATGGCTTCTGTTCTTCAACTGTGTTTGTGGCTATGTTGTGGAAGAGGAATGGGGTCTTTAGGAAAATGGTATCACTGAGTATAATACAGTATAGGTTGGAGTTAACAAAGAATCTGTTGGGAGTGTTGCACTGCAGATTTCTTGGAGTAAATATTACTAGCTTTAATTGTAGTATTTCCTTATACTAATTTTATACTCTACATCTACTACACTGTCTAGATGGGCAGAGGAACATGTCTCAGTCTGGAATTCTTGACTCTACAGGAAAAGGAACATTTACAGATGGTGCAGGTAAGACTTTCTAATATGTAGGGGTGAACTCTTCAGACTTGTTCAGTGGTGATGAATGGCAATGCTGTTCCTTGTTAGCTTGAATGGGTCTTTGAGCAACCTGATCTAGTGGATGGCACCCTTACCCATGGCAGGGGGATTGTAACTAGGTGATCTTTAAGGTCCCTTCCAACCCAAACCATTCAATGGTTAGAATGCATTTTCAGCAGTGCTCCTTAATATTTGAAGAATAATTGATTTGCCCCTATGTGAGTTAGTTCAAGCTAAGTTTTTCAGATTTTTAGTTCAAATAATGATTTTTAGGAAGTGTTTACAGAGACAGTGTGCTAATTCCTCTAGTGGATGTAACTGCATCCTTAACAATGCATCCTTTAAAAAAACAAGTTACTGCTATACAAAACCAGCACGGTTTATTCTTTCAGAAAATTCTCAACCATTTCTGCATCTTTTGGATCAATGCCCACTATGGTAGGGGAATGCTAGGTTTGTTTGACTATGCAGATGGCAGCGCTTTGTGCAGAGAAATGATGATGAGAAATTCTGCTGTAGAGTCTCCAACAATTGTGAAGTAACTCACAAGCTGTAGGTAGGGTCTGTAGTATTTATGGATACTTACCTTTAGACTGTTTTTGCAGCGAGCCTTTAAGATGTGATTTTGGTTTTTATTTCTTTATGTAATTGATTTGGAAAAACTCAAACGACGAACAAATTGGTATTCACCAAGCCTTGGTGGAGAAGGAACTACAGATGCTGTGGTAGGAGAACTTCTTGATGTCACGTAACAGCAGATTCTCTTTGTTATTACAATATAATAGACCAGCTGAATACTTTTTGGCAAAAAAGTATTTATTGTCTTTGTTTTTTTCATATGTTTAGGTAAATCAGTTATATTGTACTTTTTATGTGAATTAATAAGGAATGAGGAGAATAATTTCCGGATAAAAGGTGCTTGATCTGCACATGCGAAATTAGGCAAACTGAGTTATTATGTTCTGTGCTACACTGCAGGTTTTCAAGAAAGAAACGTTGTAAAAGGTTTTAGTACACGAAATAGAGGGTCCAAAGGATTTCATGACGGCTTTGGACAAGGTGAGAGTAAGCTTTTTGTATTGACTGGTTTGTATGGGAACAACATACATTGGCCATTTTTTCTGGGTTTGCTTGCTGCCTGAGAACTGCCAGTACAAGGATGAAAGCTATGAAATGTTTTCTGTTCTTTGGCTGTATTGTGGAACATAGGTGATGTCTTTACAAAATAGCGTTACTGGAAATAATACATCATAGATTGGAGTTAACAAAGGATCTGTCGCAGTGCAGATTTCTTGGAGTAAATAGTACTGGTGTCAGTCATATTTCATTATACAAATTTTATACCCTGTCCATTACTTACAGGTATTAATAATGGGCGAAGGGTCATACCTCAGTCTGGAACTCTTGGCTCTAGAGAAAAAGGGACATTTACAGATGGTGCAGGTAAGACTTTTAGTATGGGTGGTGAACCTTTCAGATTTGTCATTGGTGGTTTGTGGCAATGCAGTTCCTTCCTAGCTCTGCTAAATACTGTTGTTGTGATTGTTCTCCCTGTTAAGAACCTTTTGCAAATGTTAGAGATCTTGTTTGTATGCCTGCAAAAGACATGCTTGTAATTTCTATGAATTTTAGTGATTGGATTTTCAAAGCTATTGTCTTCCATAATTTTTTTTCTTGGTCTTTCTCCTACTGGTTGAGTTAATGTACAGTGAAGCAGAGGTGCTAGCCCCAAAATTGGAAGTAAGCCTTAAGAACTTGCTCAGTTTTGAAACAGTCACTCTAGACTCTTTTTTTTTTTTTTACCCTTCCTATAAGTGGAAGTATTTTAAGTTTGTCGAGACTGACAAGTAAGGTGTGTAGCTCAGAGAGGCCAGCTATTCCTGATTAAACTTTATATTGATTTTGGTTTTTTTGTTTGTTTGTTTTCTACAAGGGATTTTTCCCTCACAGGCCTGTATTCTGTTGCCACTGATACTGCTGTTCCTTTTTATCTGTGTGCTGTGCTATCTTAGAGCATAGTAATCTTTCATTCACAGAAATACCATAATTCAAATTAGAAATGCCATTAAGCCAGTGTAATGGGTAGTGGATGGCTGATATTCTCCATGAAAGAACATTTTGTGTGATAGTGGTAAAAGAATTTTTCATAGTAAAAAGGATGGATAAATGATTCTTTACTCAGAGGGTAGTGAAGCGCTGGGACAAATTACCCGGAGAAGTTGTGGATACCCTATCCCTGGAAGTGTTAAAGGCCAGGCTGGGTGAGGCTTTGAGCAGCCTGATCTAATGGGTGGTATCCCTACCTATGGCAGAGAGGTTGGAACTAGATGATCTTTAAGGTCCCTTCCAACTCCAAACATTCTGTGATTCAGTGATTAGTATATGTTTTCAGAAGTGCTCCTTAATATCCAAAGAACAATTGATTACCCTCGATTTGACTTAGTTCAAGCTACGTTTTTCAGATTTTTAGTTCAGATAATGATTTTTAGGAACTGAAATGTTTATAGAAGCAACATGGTAATGCTCCTAGTGGACATAATGCATCCTCAGTACAGGATCGTAATTCCTTTTTCATGGCCACAGGGTAAACTCTTAGCATGTGAAGACTGTTTTGGTTATTGGTACGCAACAGTTGCACCTGTCTGTATAGAAGTTCATGTGGAAAGATAGTTCTTCATGAGGAGTAGTTTGTTGCCTGGGAAGTATGTCCCTGGATCTTAAGAGCATGTGTCTGGATGATAAAGGATTTTTGTGACCAGCTCTTGAAAGTAAGGTCCTTAAACAAATGTGAGACAAGAACGCTTTACAGAAGTCTGACTTCATTTGTAAGTGTTAGGTCTAGTAGTATAAAACTAAGTTCTGATAGAGTCAATTTATGGAATTTTGTACCTTCCTGGAAAGTGGAGGGAAATCCAAATGACACCTCACTGAACTAACTTCAGTAGCTCCATACTTAAAATAGTTTTAGTTTAGCTTTTCTTGATACTGTTCATGAACTTAAGTAGTTTTGTTCTTAAGGTCCGAAGGTGACGTATGTTCCCCCTCCTCCACCTGATGATGAACAAGCGATCTTTGCACGTTATGAGACAGGAATGAATTTTGACAAGTATGATGAAAATATCGTCGAAGTGTCAGGACTGGACCCTCCAGCAGCATTAATGGTTAGTGAACTGATTAATTGCAGAGTTTGCTGAGCATGATTTTGCAAGGGTGTTTAATTTACTGAGTTTAATATTGGCTGCTAATGAAAATACTAATAAAAATTTGGATTATTGCAGACAGTATGATGTTGGAAGGAGGTGCTGCCCAATTGAAAGATACAAATTTGAATTCACAGTAATATTGACAGACTACATAAATGTTCCAGAGAAAATAATACTGCATATATAGGAAAAATAGTAATTAAATTGCAGAGGAATACCAGTTTAGATATTGAAAGAAAGAGGTCTTTGGCAGCAGTTGCTGGGAAGGCTGGTAGAGTTATCTTACTGACGTTTGTTACTGGGGGATCTTTAATAATGTAAATGAATGTGTGTTGGAGAAGTATTGATTTGGACAGAGAAGTGTTTGAAAGTATTTCTATCCCTGTTCTCTGTGGCTGTAGTTTATTGTTTAACATACAACTTTGCTGCTTCTCCATATGGGTGGCTAGTGTTTAAAAAAAAAAAGAAAAAAAAGCCCTTTCTAGGGAAAATAAAGAGGAAAGAAGTGCCAAGGGGTTAGTAGCACCTGTGTTGAAAGGGAGGATACAGAGGTATTTTCACCATCCGTCTTCTGAAAGGTTTTTTCACCATCTGTCTTCTGAAAGGTTTTTTTCACTGAAGTTAAAGTGATTTTTGTCATATATGATGCTTTTTGGTCCTGGGTAGAAATGTTGCTTTAGGTCCCCTTACTGTTTTTAGCACAGAAACTGTGTGTATCTCCTACATGAAATGAAACCAAACAGTTTAAGTTTGTTTTCATGGCGTGCTATGATGTGAGTTTACCTGCTTGAATCCAGACGTATGGCTTCTGAGCAGTTTTCTCTCAGAGCTGATACACCAGCTGAAAGTCTTCTGTCCTACAAAGTTATTTGAATGGCATTTGAATGGCATGAGCAGATTTAAGAGACCTTTGGAACTTTTACCTGTAGGAACCTTGGCAATCTAGATGACTGGTGAGACTCTTTAAAGTTAACACTTTAATTTTTGGATGTCTGCGTCCTGTGGTAAGTTTCTCTGGCTTTCTAACTTCTGTGATTGTGTAATAACCTGATTTTTTTCTGTTACAGAGCTTTGCAGAGGCTAACATATCCCATACTTTAGCTGTGAACATTGCTAAAGCTGGATACTCTAAACCTACTCCAGTGCAGAAGTACAGTATTCCTATTGTACTGGCAGGACGGGATTTAATGGCATGTGCCCAGACAGGATCAGGAAAAACTGTAAGCATTATGTATACTGCTGTGACTGTGAACTTTCAGGTGGATGATTTCAGTCTTCCATGTGCCAGATGCTTCACAGCTTGTTATCTAGTAATTTAACACTTGGATAGCAATGCCAGGTGTACTGTTAAGCACAGATACAAATGATGTCACGTTTTGGGTTGGATTTCCTTTTAGTTTCAGTGAACTACTGTCTTGATACAGTGGGCCACCCTTCAGGGCTGCAGATACAGATTCAGAAATATAGGCAGGCATTCCTAGACACTGCTTATGTGAAAACTCAGCAGTTGAAAGTATGGAGTTCTTTCAGTGTTGTGTGGAGTTTTGTCGAGTGTTTTTTGGTGGTGGTTGGTGTTTTTTTTTTTTTGTTGGTTGGTTGGTTTGTGTGTGTGTGAGTTTTGTTTTCTATGTTTTTGTGGGTGTTTTGGGGGGTGTTTGAGAACTTAGCTAGATTGTAACAGTGTGTTGTGCTAGTTTGTGACACTTGGTTTGGTCAAGTCTGATCTGCTTAGGTAATTCAGTATTAATCATGGAACAGCGTTAAGAGTTGATACTAAGTTGAAAGTTGTCTCAACTTATTACACTGCATAATGTACCCAAATCTAACCACGGACAGCTGATGTATGAGAATGTTTGGCTATGAAGTGTAGCTTTTTGCTGTTCAGTGTAATTGTAGAATCTTGGTTTTGATGTAACATAGCTTACTGCTTATTTCTTCTGGTAAACCTCTTCTGTTTGTAGAAAGGGAAATGTCCAATGCTTATGCTTTAAATATTCTGAATGCTTTTGGCACTGCTATACAGATGCAGTTTCGGGGTTAACTAGTCTTATATGGCAGTACATGTGCTGGTGTAGTGCAGCTGTGTTGCAAAGTGATCTGCCATTCTAGTAGTCTGCAGAATGTTGATACATATTTACTTTACAGACCTACTGATAATAATCTAGTTTGTAAGTACATGTTAAGGACCTGTTTTGATCCTGGGTACAGAATTATCAGTGTATGTCATCAATGTATGGAACTGCCTGAAGAACTCAGAAGTTAGCCACTGCATGCCTGTGTTGCTGTGTTACTAAACTCTTAAGAACTAGAGAAATACTTTCATACTGCTTAAATGAGGAGAAATAAGTTTCCATGTCCTGTAGCGCATTCAGGTCAGTCCTTTTGCAGTCTCATTTCCTTGATTGTGTGCGCTATCATTCAGGCTTTAAGACTGGTATACAGCTTTTAGCATGACTGATGAAAGCTAAACAGCATAAATACTGCTGTTTTGTTGGTTTTTGTTTTTTTTTCCTAGGCAGCTTTTCTTGTACCAATTGTGGCCCAAATGATGAGAGATGGTGTAACTGCCAGTAGCTTTAAACAGCAGCAAGAACCAGAATGTATTATTACTGGCCCAACTAGAGAACTAGTAAATCAGATCTTCCTAGAAGCAAGGAAATTTGTGTATGGGTAAGCTTTTGCACTGTTGCCTGGTATTAATTATTACTTTGCCTAAATCGAGTGATTGTTTGGTTTTTTTTTTCATAAATACTTGCAAAATTTTTTTTGTGCCAATCAAATTATTGAAAACATTGAGTTCAGATTATAATGAGTTCAAATTTTAATACTAGCCAGCAGGTTTCTTACTATATGGCTAGGGATTTAAATTCCTAATCTTCCTGGTATTGGGGTGGGTGGGTGAATGGGAGGCCTAGATCAGCTTGAAGAGGAGATAAGTACTAAACTTCTGTCACTTACTGATGGGAAAAATGAAACTTCTTTCATGAAGTTTTCTTAAAACTTTCTTTTCTGACCATCCGGGAGCCACTCCGGCAGTCACAGTCACACCCACCAGGGATTTTACTGCTGTGACCAAAGCCTCTTTGCAGTGGGTGGCTCCAGTGACCCCATGGGTACCTCACTTGACTCCCAACACATAGCACTCAGTCAGACAAGGTTTCCACACTAACTTGACCCCAGGTTTCCCATGGCAGAGTCTCAGATCTCTGGTTTCTTTAAGTAATTTAACTTGTGCAGCAACATGCAACAGCTCAAGCTGGATGTCTCCACAAAGGGACCCCTAAACAAGGGAATCCCTGGGCTTTTATACACTCACAGTGTATGTACATGATATTCTGGAATCTTTTTACTGAGTTGTTGGCTCCTGCTGAGTCTCTGTGTCAGGTCACCTGGCTAATGGTGCAGGTCCCTGTGCCCTTTGTGAAGCAAAGAGTTGGTGCCCAGTTCATGGCCTTTTGCTCGGGCTCCAGCCATTTCCAGCCACTCAGAGCTCAATCTGCAGCTCACACTGCAACAGCACACTGAGCTACCTGCACTAGATTTATTTTTCAACATGAAGAAACTGATTAGCTTACCCTATGTAATTTATACTTGCTTTATTTTCATCTTTATAAAAACAGAGGTGTGTTAGGGGTTTTAGTTAACTTGCAGTGATGGTTTCTAGTAACTCTTACTTCCCTGTGTTTCTGGTCTTGGACAGACATTTCACAGCTCAAGGAAACTCTTCTAGCTTTCAAAACAGAACAAAAGATCTAAACCTGTCGTTGAACCTTTGGATGTTGTATGAGAATACATTTGTACTAGTTTTGTCATTAATCTTTCCACTCCTAAGTAATAGGTTTCACCAGTGCACAGAACAGAATTAAATCTATTGTCTGTGACAGTTTGTTGCTGTTTGGAGGTGCAATGCAGAACATCATCAGTGCAAAATCTGGTGGGGTAAATCAATACTTGGCTTTGTTCAAGCAATCTTAGGCTTGGGGGCTGTCTGCCTTTGAAAAGTAGGATCATGTTTGCCTATGTACTTACTAAGCATGTTATTAAGAACAGCTTCTTAATCTGAAACTCTTCTAACGTTGTAGCTAAACAAAGTTTAGCTGTTCATCATCATTGTAGCTAATTCTGTTCAACTAGATACGGATGATTTCACAATAAAATAGCTTTTGAATCTAGAAAGCTTCTGCTGCAGCCGGCCTCCAGTAAAAACAAGATAACCTCTGTTTGGGGGGCAGTCAAGCAGTATCAGGATGTGAATCTGTTGTCTCTAAAGAATTGCATGCATATTGCTCAGTTCAGATTTATGATGGTCTTAAGCTCTTTAGTTTAATTTGCAAATAGGAATATGAAATATATGTATTAAAAGTGGATAAATATTGGAATTGTAGAAGTCCCCAAAGCATTGCTATTCTTGACTAAAACTTTCTGAAGAGTTTTTATTAACTCTGGTAAAAATTGTTTATGTGTTCAGTGTTGCTGCATATAAAGCTGAGTTAGTATCTTCAAGGAAAGACAGTTTGAATTTGAGTATAAAAATACTTGTTGCATGCATGTAAAAACTCATTGCGTGCATATAAAGACCTTAGCAAAAGGTTATAAAGGAGGGCTTGTAGACTTGTTTCACGGCTGTATAAGGTAGTTCTTGCTTGAAGAGGTGGTTTTCTACAGAAGAGTATCTGGTGTTGCTGTACTTGGTGAATCTACCCAGAAAGCTTAGCTAGAAGAACACTGAGTAGTGTAGTCTTCAAGTGGATTTGCAGTCTAATCCTTGTGTCACACACAGTGTGATTAGTTGCTTTACAAAGATTCTGTCTGTGTATTTTAAGATCTGCAGAGATTACTTTTGAAGCTCTAGAGGCATATAGAGAGGTGGTTCTGCTTTTCCTAAGTGTGCTGTATAAAAGGGAACAAAGTCTTAACACCATTTTGTCTGTGTTAGTGTTAGTAGCTCTCAGCTTAAGCGAGAGGAAAGAATGCAGGTGAAATCAAGAGTTCATTCCAGGCCATCTTGGCAGCCTCTGTTACTCACTGAGAATGGGAACTTCAAGCTTACAGTGAGCGAATTCCTGTTTTTTTGAGTCCTTTTGGAGCAAGCTGTATGGAAAAGGAATTAAACCACTCTAAGCTTGCTTGTGGTAGATCTGATTATTTTTTACAATTTTTCCTGAAACAATACTGTTTGCATACTTACATAATTAATCTGAACTTTTTTCTATGTAACAGAACTTGTATAAGGCCTGTTGTGGTCTATGGAGGTACACAGATAGGCCATTCAATTCATCAGGTTATGCAAGGCTGTAATATACTATGTGCCACTCCAGGAAGGCTTCTAGACATCATTGGAAGAGGAAAGGTAAGGTCTTAAAATTTAATGTGAATTCCCTAAGCACTCTTACCTTTTTTACCTACTGGTTTTTGTTCTTCAAATTTGATAGAAGCAGAGATAGATATTCTAAGACAAGGTCACTTGTATTTCAGTGCCTGTACAAAGGCAGCATACTGATTGGTTTTCAATGGCTCTAAATTCCTTGAGGTTTTTGAAAGAATAGCCTGAGTGTAGATCTCTTCAGTTCCTTTCAGAGCCAACTGGAAAATATCAGTCTAAATCAAAGTGGCTGCAGTGTTCGTGACAATAAAATTTCATGGTTTAAATACATGGAATAGCTTTGCCTAGTTCTTTTGGAAAATTCTGTAGCAGATTTTCACTTACTGTCTTGGTTTTTTTACTACGATGGCTTTTATCTAACTATATTTTCATACCAATTTTATTAAAAATACAAAAAATTCCAGTGTAATACTATATTTTGAATTTTTATTTTTCCAGCCATTGTAAATTCAAATCCAAATTGCTACACATTATATTCGTGACTCAATGATGTTGCACTGGACAAATGAAGTTTAGAAATAAACTGGAGATTAGTTTTCTGCTGTTGTCAGGCTTTTAATCAAAGTGATTGGTCTTGGTCAGGACCAGCAAAGTTGAACTGTCCTTAATAATACTTTCTGACATAATTTATTTTTTCAGAACAAAAGGTTATCTTGAGAATGTGTGAGGGTTGTATGAGAGAACCTTTCTAAAACTAAAAGCATAATTCCAAAATAGATGTACTTGACTAATAGTTGATCTTCAGGTTCTGTCTCAGTTTATATTGCTGAACCAAGTTCTGAAGCACTTCATTGTGTGCATAGTATTAGAATTAGGGCAAATTAAAAAGTTGAGGTTGAGATGCAAATAAATATTTTGATTTGTGAATAATTAACTTTCATTTTTTTAGTAACTTCTACTTGAAAGAAATAAGTAAAAGATGGATTTTACCAGTTAGGAAATCTTGTAAGTATATACTGTCAGTGAACCAATACTGTTTTTCTTTGACTGAAATACTTGCAGATTAGTTTGCGTAATGTGAAATATTTGGTGCTAGATGAAGCAGACCGCATGCTTGATATGGGTTTTGGCTCAGAGATGAAGAAGCTGATTTCTTTCCCAGACATGCCACAAAAAGACAAACGCCAGACACTAATGTTTAGTGCTACATTCCCTGAAGAAGTTCAGAGGTGAGTAAAGTAAAAATAGAAACATATGTGAAGATGTACAGAATTAAATAACTGAAGAGTTAAGAATACTCCTTATATTTCTGGGCTTCAACAAGTGCACATTGCTGGGTCATATCCAGCTTCTCATCCACCAGCAACCCTAAGTCTTTCTCCTTAGGGCTAGTCTTGATCCATTTTTCTGTCCAGCCTGTACCTCATCCTGTCCTATTGAATCATGTAAAAGGTTTCTCTTCCTCTCTTTTATGAGGCCCCTTTAGGTACTGGAAGGCTGCAGTAAGGTCTCCCCAGAGCCTTCTCTTCTGAGAGGCCTGACCAACCCCAGCTCCTCAACTCTCTCAAGCTTGCTTCACAGGAGAGGTGCTCCAGTTCTGTGGTCATCTTTGTGGCCTCCTCTGGACCTGCTCTAACAGGTCCATGCCTGTCTTGTGCTGAAGACCCCAGACCTGTACACAGCACTCTAGGTGGGATCTCATGAAGACAGTGTCAGAATCACCTCCCTCAACCTGCTGGTCATATTTCTTTTCATGCAGCCCAGGATGTGGTTGGAGTTCTGAACCCAAACACTGCAGACATTTTTAGCTTTTTGAAAAATGCACATATGACTGCTTGTGTTATTCCTGACTAGACAGAGAATAAAAATATTTGTTGTAAGGGTTGCTTATTGTAAGTGAAAGTACTTGATCTTAAAGCAAAAATAATCTACGTAATAGACTTCATGTTGCTCAATTTTGTCTCTTTTTAAGGCTGGCTGGTGAATTTTTGAAAACTGATTTTTTGTTTGTTGTTGTCGGACATGTGGGTGGAGCATGCAGCGATGTTCAGCAAAATATTCTTCAGGTTTCTCAGTATCTCAAGAGAGATAAACTGATGGAAATTCTACACAGCATAGGTAATTTTCCTTGTTGTTAATTGTTTACCAGGAAAGAAAAATTGCTTGGTTTTAAACTTGGTTTAAAAGGTCATGATTCTGTGGTTTTATTGTGACATGCTTTACAAGACTACTGATGAATCTTGAAGTGGAACTTCAGAATTTTCAAGTTTTTAGGCATATTGTGTTACAGATACTTCATAAATTCACACAATGCTTTTGATTGGAAGGGACCTCTGAAGGTCATTGAATCTAATCAAATACCCAGTATTCGTCAATGTCTCATCTCTATTGAGTACTAGCAGATAAGCTTCCTAGATGGTTTTCTTCTTTATATGGTCAGTTACAATTCTTTAGAGGACCCCTGGTGGTCTAGTGGTTAGGATGCGGCGCTCTCACCACCGTGGCCTGGGTTCGATTCCCAGTCAGGGAACTCCCCTGGGCAGACGGAGCTCGTCAGCCCTGTAAGGCCATCCATCTAAGAGAAGGTCACTCTAAACAAACCTACGTCCTGAGGACCTCGCTGCCACTGTCCAAGCTCGCTCAGCCCCGGCAGATGAACCTTAGGATTAAAGGGTGGGCTCAGTTCAGCGCACACCTTTCCCAAATCTTCGTTCACGAAGACTGGCCATGAGTGAGTGAGAGTGACAATTCTTTAGTATCTGGAGGTGTTATCTCAAGATTATAGGTGTATTAAAATTCTTACCTGAATGTTTGGGCCTGTATTTTGTAAGTGACTGGGATTCTTTCATTTTTGTTCTAAATTTATCTTATGTTTTAATGCTGAAAACTGGAACTGAGTTTGGAATTAAAATGTAGTTTATCTACCTTGCTGTTCGGTGCTCAGGATGGCGTGCTGCTCTTAGTTTCATACTGTAGAAAGGGAGTGCTTGCTTCTCAGAGAGCAACATTAATTTATTCCTTTTATTGAGGAGAAAAATAGAAGGCACATGTCTTCACACGTTTCTGTATTGATCTAGAAATCGATCAGTTGAGTTTAATTAGTTCAACACAATCAAGAAATTACAATATGTGCGTATATATTAGGTGTTCATATAAGTAGTAAGTGCAACTCTAAATAGTGAAGTGCATCGTGTTTTGACCTGCAGTGGCTCTGAACTTCTGTTCAACATAGGTAATGAGCGAACCATGGTGTTTGTGGACACAAAGAAAAAAGCAGACTTCATTGCGTGCTTTCTTTGTCAAGAAAATATACCAGCCACTAGCATCCATGGGTACGTATTTTTAAAGTGAAAGTCACCTAATACTATTGTGAGAAGCTTTTATTGAGAACACAGGTTTTGCCACATCTGTGGTTTAGCTTGCAGTGTTTCACATAGTCCTGTAATTCTCAGTAGCTCTGCCCAATGGAGAATGTAAAGCTTCTGAATGCTGGTTCTCACAGCATTTGCTGGGCATACATCTTTTTGGTTGACCAAATGCTGTGTTTGAACTGGAGAATCTTTTATGCCTACTGCTTAGAAAATTAGTATAATAAATTCGTAGAATCAGCTGTTCTTCATGTGTAGTTTTTGCCATAATTTCCGTGACCAAAACCAGAACTTTTGCTGTTACTGGTGAGATGATGTTCATAAAAGCGAGTGGCAGTTGTGGACCTTTCACTCTGTCTTAGAGCTTCCTCAAAATGATAAGTCACATGCCATACAGATTTCTGATGCTGTCATTTCTGCCTCTATGATGTGTTCATGGACTTAGCATTTGTATGGAGATAGATCTAAAGAAAAGATGCTTCTAACTTGTGTTAATAGTCCACTTATTAGTGCTGCATACCTGAACAGATTCTGAGAAACAAAAGTGAAGTAGGTTCTGATTCCAGGTAAAAACACATCTAAGATGATGTGTCTTTCACATCATGAGCTGGAATGAAGTTTTCTGGTTTTTGTTTTTTTTTTTTTTGTCCTAATGGCCTGTAGAACATTGAAAATGTAATTTTGTAGTGGTTTTTGCATTAGGAGGAAGGGACTTTGAATTTTTGCCAATGAAATTATGTTATGGGCAGTGTTCTGACAGATGTCAGAACATCAAAGTTGTAGAGGGGTTAAAATGATCTTATTACACAGATACGAGATGTTTATGTGTACCCTGTGGCCTGTCAGATGTATAGGTGTGTGAAAGTCATATTGAGAAGGTCTGGCCTTCTGTTCTTGGCTAGTCTGAATTGCTATCCCACAAGTTCCTTATGTGAGAGGAGGTTCTTAACACATTTCTGTAGAAACACTGTGCAGTGAGTTAAAAACACTTGAATAACTGGTTCAGTGGAAGCGTCATGAATGTTAGTGGTTTCTGATTCACTTTACCCTTTTGAGTTGAAGTTAGGATGGTTACTCTTCTCTGGAATAGTGGTCATACCAGACTTCACTAAATATCCCGTGTTAAGATCCCAAAGAGTACTGTTTAGGTTTCTAATTTGTTTTCTCATTTGGACGACAAAGAGTGTGAGTGAAACTCTGATCCACAGTAGTTAAGTACTGGATGATCTGTAAATACTACTCTTTAAACATGCAAACCCCAGAGCAAATATGGTTTTCTTGGCATGATGATAAATAGAAGACAAGTTCTTTACTGTTGGCTGGCCACATTTTTTAGTATATCTGAAAAATGCGGGAGTCTAGGTAGACTTTGTCTTTGTTACTCTGACTCCCTGCTACAAAGCTGTAGGAGAAGGTCTTCGAACTATGGCATGAAGAATCAAGCAATTAAACAAGTGAATCTTCTTAGGGAGGCAGTTTGATGCATAATTGTGTCTGATACTTTAAAAAACCTCAATGTATCTAGAGACTTAGGTTAAAGCAGTTGCTAATCAGTTAAAAATTCAGAAAACCTGAATTGGTAGTATATGTGGGTTGTTTGGGGTTTTTTTTTGGTTTGTGTCTGTTGTCCCCCACAAAGACTACATCTATCCATGAATCATGACATTTAAAGTGTATCTTAAATAATACCATAGATCTTTTGAGACATCTGTTCTAACCATTGCTTTCTTTGTAGAGATAGAGAGCAGAGAGAGAGAGAAATAGCCCTTCAGGATTTTCGTTCTGGAAAATGTCCAGTTCTCGTGGCAACCTCAGTGGCAGCAAGAGGTCTGGACATCGAAAGCGTTCAGCATGTTATTAATTTTGATCTTCCTTCCACCATTGAGGAGTATGTACACAGAATTGGACGAACTGGCCGTTGTGGAAATACAGGGAAAGCAGTTTGCTTCTTTGATAACGATTCGGATGGCCATCTTGCACAGTCTCTAATTAAAGTGCTTTCAGACGTAAGTTTAAATCTTACTGCTTAACTTTCTCTGCTCTTTGGGATTTTGCTTTAATGTACTGAGCAACTGTTAGGTCTTTGGAACAGCTAGGGAACTCCTGAATTGGTAAAGCAGTCAAAGTCTCTAAATTGTCTTTCTTAATTATGTAGGCCCAGCAGGAAGTTCCTCTTTGGTTGACAGAAGTTGCTTTTGAGTTTGAAAGAGGAAGACTCTCAGTTAATGTCCAAAAGGTAGGTCTAAAAATGAACTGAAAGTCTTGACTTTTAGAACTTTGTCTTAGTGAAAAAGTGTGCTTAGCTGTATATATCGTGAGTAATGCCACTGAAACTGTTTTGACTGTAACTGCATCCCTTTTCTTAGTTGTGCATCTTCAAAGAATTCCAAAGAATTACTGAAACTAATTTCAGACAACTTGCTTGACTTGGACTCTTAACGGTGTGGCCTGTTACTAACTACCTTACTCTTGATCTGTAGTGTCAAGAATTAGTCTGTGGAAGACAGGTTTGTGCAAACATATGCCAAGGCTGTAGTTCCAGAAATTTCTCTACTGCACATGTAAAATAGGAGCATATAGTTGCTGATCATAGAGTTACTGCTTGCTGTAAATCACTCAGTCAGGTAACTTGTTGACTAAAATCTCAGTTAATTATAGTTAGATAAATACCCCAGTCTGGTCCATGTCAAAATTGTTCTTAATATCTGTGATGAGGAGAAGCCTTCTTATTCTAATGGTGTTTTAAAATACAGCTTGAATAAAGGAGAAAGCCTCTACGGCATAGCTCTCAAATCACTCTGCAGTTAATATTTTAGGATTTAAATTCTGTGCTTACTCCTATTTTGAATGAAATTCAAATTTTCAACTGATGTTTGTTACTTAATTGCCTTTATCTAATTGGATTTTAACCAAAAGCCTTTCCTTCATCTGTTACTTCCAGTAAGAACTTTATCACATCTCAGTTGTGTTCCAAATGTTGATACTTTCTTAGAGACCATGGTAGAAGTAATTGCTCTCATTTCTTAGATGGTGTCTGAAGCTTGAGTTCAAGCTCAGACCGTTCCTTTCATTAATTATCTTTTTCCATACTGCAATTATTGAAAGTACTGAGAAGTTTGGGTGTTTTTTACCTGCCTGGCTAGTTCCGTAATCAGATCTGAGTAATTTTTCTTTGCGTCTTTATGGGATCTCAGTTATACAAACTTTGCTTCATTCTCACACTTGAAGCTTTAGTGGATCTTTCCTGTTTATTCCTTTTCAAGGACACTTTTTTCATTTTTATAGATTGCTTTCAAAAGTGGGTCTCACTAGATTCTTCCAAGTACACATCTCCAGCCTTTGTGTAATGTCTCCCAGCGTTTCATGAAATCTGTAATTTTCTAGGTCCAAGTCCATTATGTCCTTTATAACCTCTGAGCTACCAAATCTGACTGTTGCCCAAGGATATGTGTGAATACAATATTTTCAGATGAAATCTCTCTGCCTGCATTGGGAATACTGTCCTTGATATCACATATCACACAGCGCACCAGTTCTTGAGTTGGAGATCATGAGGTTCTAATTCTTTTGAGACCATCTGATGTCAGTCTGACAGAAACTGTGCATTTGTAACCAGTCCTATTTTTTTTCTTTCAAATGAACTATTAAAGCTGGGTTTTGCTGCTTTACTTTTATTGAAAGAAAGTCTTATCTAATGTTCAGTAATATTTATGTTTTTATAATATTCACTTTCAAAGGGAATGCATGGAAGGGCCATTCGATAATCAAATGGTGAATTTGAAAGCGGAATCTGTTGGAAGATCTTATCTGATTATTTTGGGATGACTGGACTTCAGTGTTTTGGTTTTTTTAAAAGGCATTTGCTGAGAAAGTAATTCATTCACTTTTATGTAAGAAATTGAGAAGGAAGTTTTTTCCCACAGTTGTATGAACTGATTTGTTTTGGGTAAGAAAAGATGTTGGGATGTGAACTTCAGTAAGTGTTACTACCAGACCTGATGAAATCTGAGGTTGATTAAACTGCATTAATTTCACACTGGGGTCCAAAAACCTTGTATATAGAAGGTTCATGATAAAAACTATATTTAAAAGTGGTGTTCAGATACATTGAGACATGCACATAGAAAGCTGAAATTGTTTTGCAGTGACTTTTACCATTAAATAATTGAAAGTGGTTGGAATGATTCTAAATTAGGACCTGTTCTGTTTCCTAGAATAACAGAGGTAGAGGCAACATGAACCCAGGAGAAATGAAGATGAAGTATTCTGCAAGTGAAGTTGAGTCATGGGATTAAAACTATTTTATCCCAAACTGGCTTATGTTCTGTTGCGCTGTAAATGAAATGTTGCATGGGAAGATAGTCTTGTGAAGACCTAGTTTGGGAAAGTACTTTATATAAGGGTTCACTCAAACTTTGTTTTTTTTTTGTAACATGTCAGTTAAAAAGTTTGAATCTTGTGTTGTGATGACTAAAAGATCTGTTGAACACCTCTTAAGCGATTACTTAATAGAAATTTGAGTTCTCCTCTTTGAATGTAGCCTCTGTATCAGATGTTACAAAAAACCACATATTGCGCTTTCATGAACTGGTATTATTTCGACATGCATGGAACGTTTGCATCTCCATATGGAACTAAAGATCAGTGGCTACACCCACAGCTTAGTGGAAATACATGTTTTTACAGAGCTATCATCAGAGAATGATGGAGCCCTGTTTGTTTCTAGTAGAATGTTTTTACCGTTGACAGACAAATACACTTCTGCTGTCTCTTGTGGAAAAGTTTGCTTTAGAACAAACCTGGTGACTTAGGTCCAAGAAGTTTCCCTGGCTTGTAGAACCTATAGAGGGTAAGCGGTCATTAACAGTTTAAGGAGATTTCTTTAAAGTTGCTTTTTCTTTGAATTTTTTTCTCTTTATCAATGCAGTATGCTACAAAGATGCATATCATTGTGTTCCAAAGGAAAATGGCAAAGTAATTATATTTCATAATATCTTGCATAGCTGAACAAGTTTACAAGCGTCTCAAGTTCTTTGGTATTTGACACACAGTGCTGAGCGCTATTTCTTGTACAGTCTTCCCACTTAATCCAGGGAAATAATAATTTTAAGCTCTGCTTACAGGACTGAAGGTTTAATGCCCAAGTTTGTAGGAATCAGAACTGACTGGGCAGTACTAGGGAATCTGTCATTGTGGAAAAGCATGCTGTCACTGTCACCAAAACTATTTACTTAAGTATCCATTTAGAAAAATAGTGTTATTTTTGTAGACTGTAGTTTTACTGCTATATAATGTGGGAAAATAGTAAAGTAAGTGTTAATTGTGTACTTAGAAGTGAGCTGAAAGGATAATATACTTAAATTGCAACTCACATGCAGTGGATGTATTTAGGCCTGAAGTCTGTAATTCAGAGTAAATACCCTGGGCAGCATGACTCCTCTTCCTGAGAAGTCTCCTTGAAGATTTTTGCATCCATTATGAATTTCAGGTGAGAAATTGAGGGTTCTTTTGGTTGCTGAGTGCAGTAAATGTGAGTGAACTGTAATTGTTGGAGGAAGCTGTGAGCTGATAAAGCCTTCCATTTCTGTGAAAAGAAGCCAGAGGACAGAGTCATGGACCAAAACCTAGAATAAACCTGTGAAGAGAACATGGTTTAGCATTTTTTTAAAGGACCACTTAGATCACTGCATGTTTTTTGCTTTATCTCCCATTTTATGACTTGTTGAGTTGGGGTTGGGCAACAGAGGGAATTCTGCAGTTGTCTCTTTTTCTGTAAAAGAACTATTCTGGCCCTATTGTTCCTAACCATTTAGAGAAAAAAGGAGAATGAAAGCCTTGAAGAGTTGAAGTACTTGAAGAAAAATACAGTTCCTTTTTGAACATTCAGTTTTAGTTTTAGCCTTGTGATTCTTTAAATACATATTTAATCTGCAGGAAGGTATTTCAATGTGGTTCTCAGCTGGAGGAAAATGCTGACAAGGGGAGTTGAGGTGGGGAATGAACTGCACTGTCAGCTGCCTGTTACTTTTATTCTTGCACTCAAGTAATCTTATATGGAGAACATGCTGAAAAATTTACTGTAAAATACTATATTAATACCCTCTTCACTCAAGAGAGTCCTGTTGTCCCTCTGGCAGCAGCCAGAGTGAATGTCCTTAAAAGGTTTTGCTGAACTGATTGAAACCTGATAGCAGTGTACCACATACCTGTAATTTCGGTTAGATGTTTCTACTGCCTGTAGTTGTGCTAAACTCAGGTCCTTGGATGTTTTTCTGATCTTTACCTCCATGTTTGTATAAAAATTGCTGTCTGTATTGCAACTTAGTTCAAGATTAAAGTGAAGGTTCTTGGCAAGCTAGTGTTGAGAAATTCCTTCAAACCTTCTTTCATTGAACAATATTTAAAATCCTGCTTTTTCTTTTTTTGTCACATTGCAGTAGTGATGTACTTCATGCAGTGCCTGCACTTTTCCTCACAAGTTGAGTTTCTCATCGTGGTCTGAGAGGAGTGCAGTCAGGGTGTCTGTTGGGTCTGGATGAGATGGAGTTCATTTTCCCCTTAGCTTTGTGTGCCCCTTCACAGTGCTGTGCTTTGTATTGGTTATTAGAAAGGTGTTGGCAACACAGCTGTGTTTTGGCAGCTACTGAGCAGTGCTCACACAGAAAAGAAGGAAGGAGGGTATTTGCTACTTAGAACAGTTGCCTTCCAGAGCAACCAGTACATGTGCTTGAAGCCCTGCTTCCCTGGAAAGTGTCTGGATATGGCTTGCTGATAGGAAGTACATAGTAGAATCTTAAGAGGTTTTTTCCCTTTCCTTGTGTGCATGCAGCCTTTCACTTTTGCCTTAGTAAACTGCCTTACCTCAATCTATGAATTGTTTTCCATTTTATTTTCTCTCCCCCTTCCTGATGAGATACAATGGCTTGGTGCATACTCGACATCCAGCTAAAGTCAACCCACCACAAGGTGAAAAGAAAGGACAGTCTGTAGGGGTGATTTGTGACACTGTTTTGACTGTAGATCCTGATCAGAACACCAGTTTTAGTAATCTGGATATAGATTTACAAAGTCAGTCAGGTATGGTATCTTAGAAGAAAATGGGCACAATCTCTTTGGAAGTAATGATCATGGTTCAAAATATTCTTACAGGTAAGTTAATAATGTATTAGTACAGAGGAAGTCAAGAAATTGCACAAAGAACTGCACACTGGTCATGAGTAAAAATGAAAAGGAAAT